CGAAAACCAAAGGCTGAATGTTTACTCTGATATGCAGATGCTAATTCACAATACAGGTGGGAGGTCATGGGAAAATAGAGGTACTTTGGATTAGGCAGAGGGAAGTGAAGGGGTAGGAGTACATGGGGGTAGGAAGAATAGTAGAATGAATCAGACCTTATTACCTTATATGCATATGTGATTGCATGACTGATGTGATTCTACATCATGTACAACCACAAGAATGAAATGTATACTCCATTTATGTTTGAGATGTCAAAATTCATTCTACTATCATATATAACTAATTAGAATAAATTAAAAAATATTTAAAAATCACAACAAATTAAAATCACAATAGGTTCTAACACATTAATTTGGGGGGAGACAAAAAAATTTAGCCAACAGCAGTACTTATAATTTGGTGCATGTATTTTATTATTGTGTAGTCTTTCCATTGTTTATTTGTGACAGTTCTTTATATAGTCTGGAAATCATCTTTTCTACCTTTTTTGAATATTATTCAGACTTTGGGTTTCTCATAGATTTTCCTAATATTATCTTTTGATTGGCACCATTTAAAAATTTTTCTCATGTACTATTATCAATCTTTCCCAGAGGCTACTTTCTCACTCTCCAGCTCTTTCCCAAGGCCTCAGAGTACTTCCTGTGTACCATAAAGATACCTGAGATGCTTAGTGGACTTGCTCAGAGGCTGCAGCTCCTCATAATTCTGATCTCTCATGCCAGTCAAAAACTGGCCTTTTAGATTCCACAAAGATTTGACTGATTTCCCTTTATCCCTCTCTATAGAATCTTTCTCTACCATTCACTATTTTTACCTTTCACAATTTCTTTCTGGAATTAGTTCATTTAAATTTCTCTGCATTCTCAGCTTCCTGACAGTTTGTTTTGTTCTATTTGTAACTTTTATTTGGTAGGTTGTCAGGCTTATATTGGTAGTAAGGGTGAGAGTGATAGTTTCTTGTATTTTCTGCATTCAAATTATAAACATAAATTTAAATATGTATTTAATATTCACAATGTTAATAATTTCAAATTTCCAGTCATGGATAACCACAAATGACTTCTCTAAATCTCAGTCTTCTTAGGGAATAATAGTATCATTTATAACAAAACAGAACTGTAATAGTTGACTATTGAGACTTGGGAAGAATATGCATTCGTGTCTAAAAAAGGCTATCTAAAAACTATGATTATTATTATGCCATAAAATAGTTTATATGCCTTAAGATAATGTGAGAGTAATATGATGACAAAATAATGATTTTTTGTTTTTGCTTTGAATTTCTCCAGACATGGAGGACCTTATAATTTAATTTGGGGGATGGGTATCGGGGATTGAACTCAGGGTCACTAAACCACTGAGCCACATCCTAGTTCTTTATTATATTTTATTTACATACAGGGTCTCACTGAGTTGCCCAAAGCCTCCCATTTACTGAGGCTGGCTTTCAATTCATGATCCTCCTGCCTCAGCCTCTAGAGCTGCTGGGATTAAAGGTGTGTACTACCATACCTGCCATCATGATTAATATTATTTGTAATCTTGACTAGGCTAAGGGATATCCAGATAGCTGGTAAAACATTATTTCTTGCTGTGTCTGTGAGGCTGTTTCCAGAGAGATTAACACTTGAATTGGTAGACTGAGTAAAGAAGGTTTACCTTCCCCAACGTGGATGACATCATACAATATGGACCGGATACAATAAAAAAAGCAGAGGGAGGGTGATTCTACTGTCTCTGCTAGAGATGGGAATCCATCTTCCACTATCCTTGGATGATAGACACCTGGTTGGGTCTTTGGACTAAAACTCATCCTCCAGGTGCAAATAGGAGAACATGGGACGTGCCAGGTTCTATAATCCTATAATCATATAAGTGGATCCTTCTAACTCTCCAGTTCCTAAATGTTCTGTTTGTCTTAAGAAAACTGACTAATACATAGGATAATTCTACAGTCCAACATTCTAGTTCACCAAGGAAAGGACCCTTTTATTTATGTGATAATAGTCCCAAGACTAGCAGACTGAATAACTATATCACTTCTTAAATGAATTTGGTTATAGATAGAAACAATAGCACATTATAATGTTCATTGTTGCTTAGTTGTTTATTAAACCTAATTTAATAGTTGTTGTTATTTAATTTATACTTCAACCTATGTATATTCCATACATATCTATATTATGGGAATATGTAAGTGAATATATTCTTATATGTATATTCCAATAATAAGCTCTAATATATCAGTTATTCTATACTATATTAGAATATGTATAAGTATATAAGTGTGTATGTCTGTGTATGTGTCATAAAATTGGAAAAGTTGAAGCTAATGATATTTTAAATACCAGATTCTGAAATTGCAGGTGAAAAGAAAGATGTTTCAACAAATAGAAGAAACTGAGACTATGAAAACACAGTCATCTAGAAACACTAGGAATGTACTTATGAGCCCATGAAAACACATAGGGTAACACAGGTCAGAGGAGGCCCCCAGAACTCCACAGCACTCAGAGTCTCATATCACAGTAGAAAACATCTTGGGAAAGTGGGTGAGAGGATGAGAGTCAGGAGTTTAGCAGAAGCAGAATCCAAATCAAATTCATGTCTTTTTAAAGTAGAACTCACAGATGCAGGAAGGTCAAGGGAAGTGACATTTGCTGACCCCCATGGGAGCAACACTAGGAGTCCTGTGCCATCCAGGGTATAGGCAAGAGGACGGAGGCATGGTCAGTTGGAAACATAAGGATAATTCAGTCAAGAAAATCTGGAGAACGGTACTAGTATAAGAGGGAACCAGCAAAGGATGCCCAGGCACCTGGGCACTGCCTGAGAGCAGTGAGGAGTCAGTACAACCCTCAGTCTTAAGGACAAGGGGTAAACACAGTGTAGGCAGGAGCTGGAGCTGTGGAAGGGGGTCTTCTTCACAGAGCTGCAGTTACAGAGTGCAGCCCATGTCAGAACCAACACATCTGAACAGGAGAGGGGCACAGATGCTCAACCTCTCTTCCCTCCCACACATCTGCTGCCAGTTCCTATGCAAAGGCTGAATCCAGTAGGATGTCAAAAAGCAAAAGAAGCCTGGTGATTCAGTTCACAGGGGTTGAATTACTACTGTATGGAGGACAGAAAGAGAGAGAGCATGAATTATGAAAAAAGGGAAAACACAAGAAAAAACAGCAATAGAACAACTGGCAAGACAAGGGTGAATCCTGGGTGTCCTTTTTCCCATCTCAGTGAAGTCCTCAATTCACATGGCAGCTGAGTCCTAAGGCCCATCATAAGAACCCAAGAGAAATGTCCAGTGTTTCTTATCAGAACTCAGAGTTCATCCTGGGGTCTGAAGTTTGACCAGGGTTCAGGTTAGAGAGCCCTGTTTTTCCATGTATTGCTGCTTTACTTCAATTTTGGAAGTCAGAAACATGGGATTTGACTCCTTGGTCAATAAGGGAGAGTGTATATCTTTCCTGCCCTTTTATACACAGATATGATACACTTGTGAGATGAATCTAAGGTCCTTGCATTCAGATATTTCTTACCTTACAAAGAAACATATAAGAATATTATTGAATTTAATTTGAAGTAATGTTTTGCTGAAAGACTTGAGATTTTTAAAACCTGGCCTCCTTTCTCCTATATCAGATGAATTTTTAGAAAACATAAGCCCAACTCTAGGTGCATGACTATACCACGTCGTTGGGATTTAAAGGTTGGGTGAGGGCACAGGAGCCCAGACATGAAGAGGGAAAACTCCTTGGACAACCTTCCTGATGCCGCTGCCTCCCACCTAGAGTGTGGTGAGGACAGGGGAAAAAGTGCCAGTTCTTAAGCACCTCCCCACATCAGTGTCTCCTGAGCAGCTTCATGAAGTGAAGGGCTGGTGGGGAGTTGGGCTGAACTTTCTGCAGCATGGACCAAGGAGAAGCAGAGCCTACCTTAGTCATGGGGTTCTAAGCAGGATAATAAGACCTGCTTCTATGTACCTCATTTGATTCATCAATATCTGAATGAGTAATTAAAGATCAGGGGAGATTTTAAATTGCTCAATAGGTGAGACATTTTGGTAGAGACTAATCCGGTGTCAGAATTTTTTGAGAAATATTTGCTCTGAGAGGTACAATGGTCTGGAGGAGAGAGAAGCCTACAGGCTGTGCTGGTACTAATGAAGATCAACACTTGGGTTTTCTTTAACCCTGCTGTCCACCCTACCCTACCTCAGTGTAATTCAAGCTCTCCTAGGTTTCTAGGATTCAATCTAAGTCTGGCTCTTGTACTGATCATTCTAGAGGAAACTACACACTGCCCAGGAAGAGAAAATAACCCTCCCCTCCCAGGCCCTCCTGTGCCCCTGTGGGTTTGTGCTCAGTTCCCCCTGCAGTTCCCCTCACTGTGTCTCCCGCAGCGCAGTAGTACACAGCTGAGTCTGAGGGTTGGACTGCAGGTTTCTGCAGGTGGAAGGAGTTCTCCTTCTTAACAAGAGTGGCATGAAAACCTTGGCTCTCTGTCTTCTGGTTTTCTGTTGCACTCTTCAGGAGCAGCTGAGGACCTTTATCAATATACTGGACATACCAGTAAAGGAAAGATCCTGAATAAGTGGTCTGGTAAGTACAGTTCAAGGTCACAGGTGCCCCCTCTATAAGAGTAACCAGGCCTGCTGTTTGGGTCACTGAGTCTCCATTGCTCCTCCCTAAAAGAAAAATCAAAATACTGTTATATAGGGAGAAACATTAAAGTTGTCAGAATTGTACAAAAATGAAATTTTATTAATTATTAGAATAAAATGTTACTTACGGAACATTAAGAGGGTCAGGAGAACTGAACCAGTGACATAAAGCATGTTGAGCAAAGAAAATGATCCTTACTGCATGCAATACACCAAGCCCCCTGAGGCCAGTCTCCAGATGGATCTTATAGAGATTCTTCACTCAGGAGCAAGAGCCTCATTTTGCATAAAAGCAGTTATGACTACAAAGATAGTAGGTATGTTGAACCACCACCTAAATGCAAAACTGAACTTCCTGTGGGAAGGTTGCTCCCTCTTGTGGTTTCTTTGCAATTTGCACCCCAAATCTTGTCAGACTCCATTTTTAATAATACAATGCCTCCTCCTCTTCATCCATAGGAGCTGTATTCCAAGATCTCCAGTGGATACCTGAAAACACTGTTAATACTGAACTCCATGTTTCCCTCTCCAAACATACTTTGATAAAGTTTATTAAATTAAGCACATTGTTCTCTGTTACAACACATTGCCATCAACTGGAACATGTTTTGTGTTCATGTCTTCCACCCACAAATGTAGTGCCTTTTCCTCATTAGCTAAGCACTTGTCTTGCATTGTGGCTGTAACTTTTTCCATTTGACAGGTGACCTCAAAACACAAACTGACTAAAAACAGGGACTAAAGAGCAGCGTGGATACACTGGACCATGGGATGATTCAATCCTGGCAACACAGAGCAGGACAGTGTAATATTTCCTCTCACTGTTCAGAATGGCATGTAATTTGAAATAAAAATTATTTATTTCTTGAAATTTCCACTTAATGTCTTTATTTCACAGGTGACAGCACAGAACTGCTTATAAAACTGTGTTCTAGAAGGACAGGATATTTTAAACTAGCTTGAAAAGATGGCAAGTAAAGAATTTAGCATTTGTTTATGTGTTCCAAATAGAAATAATATTCCTGTTACTTCAGGATTCTCTTCATGGTGCAGAGATCTCTAGCTTCAAGTAATCCCAGGCACAACATTGAAGTGGAATAGTCTGAGGCCTCTTCCTTGCACATGTCCCTGTGGGTCCATTGGGTGCCTGGAGTGTCCTCTCCCTCTCCTCCAGCCCACCACCTCATTCACCACCCCCCAGTCAACATGCCATTTCATAGGAAACATCATGTATTGTGATCCTCAATCTGTAGAGAAGGATCAGTGTTTTCCCACCATATCATGGAATGATACATTTGTAAATAAAATAAAAACAAGTTTCTGATTCACTGATAGGTTGAGCGCTAAAGGGATTGACCTTCACACTCACTTTTAATCCTGGGCTGATTTGTACATATGTGAAGGAATCTCCCCAAGACAAAGAGAAATCAAAAGGCAAAGTAATTTCCAGAGTTCACACAGTGCTGGGCATTGTGTGTTCACAGCAGCCAGGATTCAAGAGAGATTTTAATATAAGTGGCAGGTACTGAAAAGGCTGAGAGAGTTCCAGAATAGAGTCCATCCAAGTAAAGATGAAAGCAACTCACAAAAGATCAAACTGATGAGCAAATTATTCACTGGCCTGAAATACATCCAATGTCTCTTAAAATTCAGCATACAAAAATGTAAAGTGCACATATTTAGCATCATCAAACTTACCAGATAAGAAGAAGCAGGAAAATGTAATCTATAATCAGGAGAAAAATCAACCAACAGAAACAGATCTAAAAATGTCACAGATGAAAGAATATCGCAAAAGAGTATAATAATTATAAATTACTAAAAGTATCTGTAATAAAATTTATTAAGCAATGTAAAGAAATATGGGAAAATAAAGAGGAGAAAAATGGATGAAATATGTGTCCAAATGGATCTTATATAGATAAAAAGCATTAATCAATTGAAAAATAACTTGAATAGAGTTAGTAGAAGATTAGAAACCACAGATAAAATGCTCAGTATAATACAATGATAGTAAAGTATAATATAGTATAAGTTGAAAAAAATGTTCAGTGATCTTGATGAAAAAGCAATGAAAATTGTGCAAACTGAAGTATAAAGAAAATAAACTGAAGAAAAGGGAATATAGTCCTCTAGCTGTGGCGAAAATCAAGTGGTCTTATGTGTGTAACTGAAGCCTGAGAAGAGAGACAGAAGGAAATAAAAATATTTGAAGAAATAATAGCTGAAACTTTCCAGATTTCATTATTAATCCGCCAATACAAGGCAGAGTAAATAGAACAAAATTTATTCCAAGTTTCATTATAGTTGTCTAGCTCATTTTGTGATGTCATAACAAAATATATGAGACTGGGTGCTTTATAAAGTTTATGAAGTTTACTAGGCCCACAATTCTGATGATGGGAAAGTTTAAACACCTAACAAAGCCCCCCAGCCACATCACAACACAGAAGAAGTATCACACCACAGTAGTAGGTGTTAAAGTGGGCAGTGATGTGTGAAAAAGATTCAATGGCAAGAGACAAAGCAAGGCAGAAAGCAAAAAACTCATTTTCTAACAACCAGCCTCACAGTGACTAACCAAGTCCTGGGAGATCTAACTCACTCCTGAGAGGCCTAGTTCAGTCTAATTCAGTCTTGGGAGAACTGACCTCTTCTCTCAAGAAAAACTTGAATCTATTCATGGGAGCTGTGCTGTGGTGACCTATTCATCCCTAAAAGGCACCACTCCCACACTGCCACTTTGGGGATCAAGCCTCAAGATGAGCTTCAGTGGGAACAAGCACATTCAAATGTGTTAGTCACTTTTTCGTTGCTGTGATAAACATTGAGGACAAAACTTAGAGCAGGGAGATTTAGTCCGGCTCACTGTTTCAGAGTTTTCAGCCCAAGGTTGACTCCACTGCACTGGGCCTGAGGTGAGGCAGAACATAAAGGCCGAGGGCGTGGTGGACGAAAGCTGCTCAGGTCAGGACAGCCAGGGCCTTGAGAAGGAGAGAGAAGAGTGGGGAAGGAGATAGGGAACTACATAGTCCCCAAGGCACACCACAGTGACCTACTTACCCCAACCAGGCCCACCTGCTCCAGTTTCATCCTACTCCCACTAGTCCATTAAAGCTATTGACCCATCAAATGAATTAATCCACTGATGAGATCAGAGCCCTCAGGACCCTATCACTTTCCAAAACCCCACCTCTGAACATCTCTGCATTGGGGTCTAGCCTTCAGCACATGAGATTTTGGGGGACATTTCAGATCCAAACCAATGCAAAGCAAGTAAATGAAGTTTCTGAAACCCAGTAATAAAGAGAAAATTTTAAAAATCAGCTGTGTTTAGGTAGGGAGAAAATGGAAAGGACTCAGAGGATCAAAGCTAAGAATGACATTTGGCTTTCCATCAGAAACAATGCACACATCAGAACCTAACTAAAGGGCTAAGAGGAAATGTCTTCCAAAACACAATTGTTTAAAATGCAAAATTATAAAACTACATTGTGGATATTTAACATACACAGAAAAAGTGTGTGGCAACAGCAGGAAAAAGGATGGAGGGGGAATGTTGTGTGTCCTGCACTACATGTGAAGGAGTGAAGTACTATTTAAAGTCAGACAGGGATAACATAAATGCACAGCCTCTGAACCATCAGCTGTCAAACATGTGGGCCTAAATATCCCTGTGTGGTGTCAGAAAAAGGCTCCAATGGGATGGTTTTCTTTATGTGGAATGGAGTGGAGATGGAGGTAAATTCCATCAACCATCAGAGCAAGGCTGTCATCCACATCACATGGGGACTCTG